AAGTCTTCTCAATCCACCCAATTTAGATTCAAGGATTGGATTGCCTCCCTTTTTTTTCACCAGAAGTTACCTTACATATCTTACTTTCTTTCTTTTTTTTTCAATACTTATTTTTAAAACTTATTAAACAACTTGTTTTTAAAAATAACTTTTAACCTTCAATTAGTTCAACACATATAATATATCAATAAATTTACATATAGACTTTTTAATATTTAACATTATAACCAGTTTAACACTTATATTATACATTCAATTTATCTTATAACATTTAAATATTCAATAAATTCACATATATTTTTTTTAAACAACATTTAACCTTTCAATTAATTTAACACTTATGTATATATTTATTTTTTCTTTCATTCACAACTATAATCACATATTCTCTTTTTACATGCACATTTTTTCTTTGTACACATTTATTCCTCACAATTGAACCAAAATTAATTTTTTTTACTTTTTCATTTATATACTCTTCAAGACTCAAATTCTCTTACATTCCTTTTTATATCCCCATTAATACAAAATAATATTTCTTCTCCCTTTCATAAACATACCCAAAAATAATATTTTTTTCCCCCTTTTATATATTTTTTCTTTTTAACAACATTCAACCTTTCAACTAGTTTAACATTTACATATATATTTATCTTTTTATTCTTTCATAATCACAACCATCTTTTTACATGCATATTTTTTTCTTTGTACACATTTATTCCTCACAATTGAACCCAAATTTTTTTTTTTTTACTTTCTTATATATATATTCTTCAAGACTCAAATTCTCTTACATTCCTTGTAATATCCCCATTAATACAATATAATTTTTCTTTTTCATTTCATAAACATACCCAAAATAATTTTCTTTTTTTCCCCCTTTTATATATGTTCCTCAGTCTTTCAATCTTTTATTTACTTTAACCATTACATTTATTAAAACAAATAACCAACCTCTATCAAACATCAACCAACCCCAACAACCTTTGTGCCCATTCTTTCCTCTCATATTTAATAACCTTATCTTTACAACATCATTATTCTCTGCAGATTATTTCTTCTTAGTCTCTGTCACATCCCCATTCTCAACACTATTATTCACAACCTTTCTTTATCCACATAATGGTACATGTCCCGCATGCTCTAAAAACATAAAAATCACCAAACCTGGCCTCTTCACCAAACACAAAACCAATGGCATCGTTTGTCCTGAGTCCGGGAAGCGTCCTTCTCCTCCCTTCCTAAATCCCCTTTCCATTTTTTCTACTCACAGCCACTCTTCCACCTCATCCAACAACATACCAACCACATCAAACACATTTATTCCCCTCCAACCAACCACCCATGGCGACATCATCAACTTCCTAAAATCCGACAAACCTCCCATTATCTCTAGAATTCCTAAAGGCTCTAGAGTACAAGTAGCCAAAGCCCTCTCCACATGCCTTCAATCATTATTAAATAACTTCTCCTCCCTCGATCATTGGCTCAAACTCTTCACATTTTCCTTCACGACTCTCCAACCTCCCAATCCAGAGATTCAGAAATCTCTAACCCAACAAATTAAAGACGCAACCTTACATCCCCTCACCCTCACAACCACAACATCTTCTCATGTACCCAAAAAACTTTCCAGCCTACAATTAAAGGCAAAGTTAATTTCCAACAAAATTAACAACCTAAACATCAAATCCGCTCTTCGCTTAGTAGCTTCTAATGATTCATTTGCCACTAGTAACGAAGAAAGTTTCAACAAACTCAAACTAAAGCACCCCTCCGGAGTTGATTTCATACCTCCACCTCCTCCCAATATTTTCCCTTCTGATTTCACCCCCGCCGAGGTGCGTAAATCTATTCTATCCTTCCATCACGACTCTTCTCCCGGTTACGATGGGCTTCGTCCCATCTTCCTCCAGGATCTCACATCCCCCCTCATAGTCAGTCAGGTCCCAATTTTACAAAATTTAACAACATTTTGTAACAAAATAGCACACGGCCTCGTTCCCGAATCCATCAGACTACTCTTTTTCGGTGCTAAACTAATCGTACTCGAAAAAGCTAATAAGGATATCCGCCCAATTGCAATCGGAACCGTATTTCGCCGCCTTGTCGCTAAGCTAATATCTTCCAAAATTAAGGACAACGCCGCCTTAATTCTAGTACCTCATCAACTTGGAATCGGCATCCAAGGAGGCTGCGAAATAGCCATACACGCTACTCGTATCCATCTCCAAACCAACTTAAGTAACGAAATCCTCGTTAAAATTGATTTCTTCAACAACTATTTACTTTCATCATCTCAAGGGATCCAACAAGGCGATCCTTTGGGCTCGATACTTTTCTGCATTGGAATCAACGAAATGGTCAAAAACATTTCTTCCAACTGCAATCTCCCACTGCATACTTGGTACATTGATGACGGAATACTCTGCGGTCCCCCTAACGAGGTTGCTAAGGCACTCACCATCATCAAAACACATTCCCACGCTATCGGTCTCTCACTCAATGAACAAAAAACTGAGATCTGCCCATTTCATTGCTCCATCCCATTCAACCACAACTTCCACACAACCGAACTCTCATCCCTCAGTCATCTTGGCTCTCCAGTCGGTGGACTGGAATCCATCAATCACTTCTTCACTAACGCATCATCCAGCCTTCATTTCAAAAACATCTCTAAGTTTCTCCCTCCACATCAAGCTTTTTTTCTCCTCAAAAACTTTTATTACATTCCTAAAATTCTCTACGCCCTTCGATCCACCTCAATTTTCAAATTCCCCGACTCATTAAAATCTTTTGAAATCTCCATCAAATCTCTCGCCGAAGAGATCCTTAATCTCCGCTTTAACCATAATTCATGGTTACAAGCATCACTTCCATGCAAGCTCGGGGGTATCGGCTTACGTTCACCTCTAACTCTTTCCATCAGTGGTTTCATCGCCTCTCGTCTTTCATCCGATTCACACATTAGCCAGCTTTCCAACTACCCTGACCCCCTATTAGCTGATACCCAGACCATTTGGGACAACTCCGTTGTCCCAAACACTCCACGACCCTCCTTATGTTCAAAGAGAGACTGGGATATTCCACTCAACGAAGGTTCCGTCGCTTACCTAAAATCGAGCCTTCATGACGACGATCTCACAGTTTTTCACCAATTGAAATAAGGATCTGGTTACGAGTTTCTGGAAACCATACCCTCCAACAACCTCGATTTGTTGCTCACTGCTGACGAGCTAAGATTTGCTATTGGACTACGGCTCAATTGCGAAATTGTTCTTCCGTACCAATGCAAACATTGCGAAACCAGCGTCGACAGCAAGGGTAGGCACTGCCTCCATTGTCGCTTTTGTCGTGGCCGCTTTTCACGGCACACCAAATGCAATGATATCATTTTACGCGCCCTTAAATCAGGAGGCATTCCATCTAGACTTGAACCAACCGGAATTTTCAGAACCGACGGAAAACGTCCTGATGGAATGTCCTTGATCTCCTGGTCAAGGGGTCAGCTCCTGGTTTGGGACTTCACCTGCATTGACCCAAACGCACCTTCTAACCATAACGTCGATGCCCTCGCCCTCGCTGAATCCCGCAAAACCATAAAGTACAGTTCCTTAGACCCTTCTTTCTTATTCATACCCATCGCCTGCACCATTCTCACCACCTTCGGTAGCAAAGCTCAACGTTTTTTCAAAGATTTAGGCAAACGGATCCGCGAAAAAACCGACCAACCTAAGGAATCCCTCTTTTTACGCCAAAGACTTGCTACCGCCATCATTCGTTCTAACTATCTCTTCATCTCTTCCATTGAATAACCTTCCATTTTCCAAGCCTCCTTTTTTTTATCCCCTATCCTTTCCCGTAAATTATATTTCTAGTATTTTTCCCCTTTATTTATTTTACCTTTTTAAAAAATTAATTATTTGCTAATATTTTTTGACATCATATCATATCAGTAAATATTCAAATATAGTAACCCATGACCGGAAAAAAAAAGTTTATAAATATCAATTTGATATAAAAATATTGATTTAATTAAAATAGTTTAACATTGTTCGCATTAAAATTTAATTAAACTCAGAATGTATTGAATTATTATAAATGGGCTATGAAATATTGATAAGATATGATAAAATTAAAATGTTTTTTATTCAATTTAATATTCGTATTTAATAACAATTGTTTATTTATAAATTTCATAGGAAAATAGATGTTATGTGATAAATTTCTAAGATCTCAACCTTACTCTTTAATGGAATTAACGTAATCTCTTACAACTTACTTACTTTTATAGGCTTGACAATTTTGGATTATATTATATTTTATTTAAAAGAAAGGTATCAACATTTATAATTCAAATTCAACCATATGAATAAAACAATAATCATTAAAAAAAATTTATCATCCAGAAAAAAATTACGTTAGTTAATATTATTTTTTTTCTTCAATACATATATATATACAGTTTTGTAACAATAATCATTAAAAAAAATTTATCATCCAGAAAAAAATATTATTTTTAAAAAAATTACGTTAGTTAATATTATTTTTTTTCTTCAATACATATATATATACAGTTTTGTGCAGATTTAATTCAAAACATTTCCATATTTATTAATTTATTTGAAAATAAAATTATATGACTGAACTGAGTTATAAGCAAAATAATGTTGATGAAATCACACATTAAGCATGAAGTTGTTAAAACTTTTCGAAGAAATAATTCTGAAGTATAAGTCAACATTATGCTAATATGCATTTTAGTTTAGTACTTCAAATCCTTTTGATTGTGCCAGAATGAAAATACATTACCACAGTAAAGCAATCGTTATTAAAATTTATTTTTGATATGAAATAATTAAAGTTAAAATGGATATAATTAACTATGCTTTATAAAATTATACAAAAACCGGTCGGCTACATTTATCAAAAACATTGATAAGTTATTTTCTTGCTTGTAATTCTTTTTCCCGCAAAATAATCGAATATTAAAATAAAAGGTTATTGACGTATTTTTATGGTTAAAATTGGACGATGTTAACACCCACTCTCGCGCTGACTCCAACGAGGATGGCTTATCCCAAACGATTGACAAATCGGATAAATCTCAAAATTCTAAAAAACACAAAAAGACATTCGTTTCTAGAAAACAATTCAAAGTAAATATAATGGTTAATATTGATTTCGAATATAAATTTACCTATTTAGGTAAATTTATAGACAGTGGCATCGATAGATTTTATTATTAAGACAAGGCATAAAAAAGTTTAAAAAAAATAAGTAATGTATAAGGAAATAGTTATTACTCAACTACAACCTTAAACGATACTTGAAATATGTTCTTAACGCTACTTTGAAAATTAGTATGCTATCACTAGAGCTACCTTCTTAAAAAAATAACGCAATACAACTAGGGGTCTAACGCAATTAAAATTTTCCGGCCAGGAAATTTCCCCCATTCCCAATTTTTATCAGGGATGTGAACCCTCCTAAAAAATGGGTTCGGGTTTGGATTGGTTCGGAGACCAGAAAAATAATGACTTATTAAAATTAGTTTAAAATAATAGGAACATCATTTTTTAAAAAAAAATTATTTTAATTAGTATTGCCATAAAAATAATTTATCATCATAATTAAAATATATTCGTGATTTTGTACTTCTCTTTGTCTTACTATCAATTTAATAATCCACAAGCAACAATATCCTAAAATAGATATTATTATATATCATCATCATTTATAAAAAACTTTTAAAATCTGCTTTGCTGGGTATAATATAAAAATTTTACGAAAAATGGCCATCTCTTAAATATGATTCCACGAAAAAATGATCAAAAAATGTTTTTTTTATATTAATATTTTTTTTTGAATAAAAAACAATTGTTTTAAATAAGGAAATCTTTTATAAATGAAGATTGTAAATTACATAAATAAAATGAAAAAATTTTTTTTAAAAAAAGCTTGGACCCTGAACCCTAAATTTTAAAAAAGTGTTCGGGTTTGGGTTCAGCGGAATATCGAGGGTTTGGGTTCGGGTTTTCATCCCTGATTTTTATACTGTTCATTGATTAAATGATCACGATTTTTTTTCATATTATTTTACTAAAATATTTTTTCCTCATAGTTGACAAAATAATTGTAACTTGTATTTGTTTATACGTTCCTTCTCAAAATAATAATAGCTCAACTCAAGTAATATTCACCTGAAGGAAACTTTTTAATTAGCAGAAATAAGTTAAAATATGTAGGGTTATATGTTAGAGAGATATGGTATAGAATTGTTAATTAAAGGTCTAAGAGATGTGGATTAGGTAGGGTTAATTCATTTTTTTGATGACAAATCTGACGGGTCATGTGATTATGGAATTTAAATTATAATGACGACAATTTCCTTGAGTTGAACCTAAGTTTCTTAATTTTTGTTATAAAATTTTAAAACATAATACTCATCTAAATTAATTATTATTAATTTCATTTGCAATTTTGGATATTAAAATTAATTTATACAGATACATTTTATATATAATATAAGTAATTTTAAAGATATTTAAGCTGAATCAATTAATTATTTCCAAGAAAACAATGCAATGCAAATAAAACATTTTATTGATAGTTTATCATTTGAAAAGCAAAGTAAACTAGATAACCGTCTTTATGTCTTGCCCATTTTCCATAAATCAATGTATTGGAAGAAATTATTTCAATCTATAAAACCTGCATTTATATTGCCCAAGATATTTACTCAGTAAAAATTTGTTAAACAATGAATATGAAGGGATTAAAAATATAGAGATTGAAAGATTCTATAAAAATAAAAATGTGATCCTCATTAGTGATGGGTAGACAAAAATGTATTGAAAATTTTATTAAACAACCCTAAGATCCATATTCTATAAATCAATTGAAACAGAGACCAATATGCATATGGAGGAATATTTATCTAATGAATTTATTAAAGTAATTGTGGAAATATGAAACACAAAGCATAATAAGAAGAAAGCACAGACACTTTTAAGAAATAAACATCGAATGCATCGGATGTGCAGCTCATGGACTTAATTTGCTAAGTGTATAGCGAATAATAAAATTTTAGTAGCACAATATATAAAATTCAACAATATTGTTATCAATATTGTAGGAAAAACAACTATTTAGAGATAAAAATAGGATTAATTCCTTAAAATAACCTATCCCAACTCGATGGGCATTTAGAGTGGATGATTAATAGCCTGTTAAAAATAAAAATATTTTGCAAAAAATAATCAGGGATGCGCCGTCAAAATTGCCTAGGTTCGGTTCGAGCTCGGTTTAAGGTAAAAAAAAGAAAGGGGTTTGGGTTCGGTTCAGGGAAATATATTTGAACCCGGGTTTGGTTCCGGGTCCAGCTCGGGCTTAAAAATTTTTGAATTGGTAAAAAAAATCTATATTTAAATTATAATTAAAAAACTAGACATAAATTTGGTATAAAAAAATAAATTTTTTATTTTATTTATAGGCAAAATATAGTTAAATATACAAAGCATAGTCATGTATCAATTTTAAAGATTTTATTTAGACATATTTCTTTAAATTAACAATATCCAAATGACATATAATAAACCTAGACTGACGATTCATTTATTAAAAGCGTACATCAATGCAAATCAGCTAAGGACGCCATCTTGGTTACAGTAATCATTATTAAAATTTTTAACGAGAGCCTAATTTATTCCTATATCTGATGCAATTTATTAAAGAATTGCCTGATCATCGAGATAAATAAAGAAGCAAGTTACCAATTTAATAGTAGTTTTTAAAATGAGAATAATTATCAAAAGGTTTACCAAAATGGCAGGTCCAGCTGATTTGCTTTTAACGCTTAAAAATGCATTTTAATGAATGAATCGTCAGTCTAGGTATTATATATTAGTGATCTGCATTGGGCCTAATATTTCAAGCCCGGCCCGGCCCGAAAGTTTTTTTAAAAAAGTTTTGCCGGCCCGGCCCGAACCCGAAATTTATTTTAAAAAAATTTACCGGCCAAGCCAGGCCCGAATTTATTTAAATATAGAAATTAATTTTTATAATTACTTAAAATAAAAGACATATGTTATATAGCGTTTAGTTTCAAATTAAATTAAAAATTTTTATTTTACATAAAAAATTGATAAATTTAAATATATTTAATAAAATTTCCAAGGTCTGACCCGACCCGGCCCGAAATTTTTTTAAAATATTAGGCACGGCCCGAACCCGATTATTTTAGATAAAATTAAGCCCCGGGCCTAACTTTGCAAATCTCTATTATATATGTCATTGCAATATCCAATATAATAATTTTTACTTTGACTTGTTCACTTTCATTTTCCTCTAACTAATAATCTTTCATAATGATTTAAAAATTAAAAATAAATAGCGTAAATGATTTAATTGTTTAAAATTTATTAACAATCCAATAGGAATCTTTGAGAATAAATTTTAAAAAAAATTTAAAAATGGAGTAAATGAATTAAGTTGTTTATAATTATTAACACATCACTTAATTGGAAATTTGAAAATTTTATAAAATGTCAAGTAAATTATTTATTTGTATTTACAATAATACAAATATATTAATATATGATTTTAAACAATACATTGAACCCGGGTTTAAATAAAATTCACGGGTACGGTTCGGGGTTTTGTAAATTTTATAAACGGGGTTCAGGTTCGGTTCGGGTTCATATTATTTTCCCCAAAACCCGGGTTTTTCTCCGGGTTCGGGTTCAGTTCGAATCCCTGGAATAAATAATACTACTGATAATTCGGAATCTCGAAATAGAGTAGTTGAGGCATCTGACATATTGAAATATTATATAAATTAGATATTATTGATCTATTAATATTTTAATCGAATTTTCTTTAAAAAGATTTACAATCCCCATGGAAAATTTTAGCCTCATCTTTATTTAGATATAAAGTGAAGGTGACCACCAGCATATACAGGTGATAAATGGCTCATTTCAGCAAGTTTGAACCTCTATAAACAAGATTTTTAAGCGAAAACCATCATCTTAACCTCTTTCGAGACTTAAACTTAAAGGATAGCTAAATCTTTAAAAAAAATTCAATGCCTTAAGGCTTTTCTAATTTTTAGCAGAAATAGTCAAATGTTTAAATAGGAAGTTGATATTTTCAAATAGGTAGGTTGTTGGTTGTTATGATTAATCAATTTACTTTGAAAGAAATAATAAATTGGGATATTTTTTTATCAGATTCTATGGTGTCCTTTTGTCAATGAGCATTTTTTTTTATTGATTAACCGTATTTTAAAAAAATAAATCATTAAGATATTCCGAAGGAAATTTTAAAAAATTCCACTCTCTGGATACTTTATTTCTCAGTATGGACGATTGTGAAAAGGGCTTTTATCTTATGAATTTGATCATGGTAGAAAATAGAGCGAATTTAAGAGTAAATAATTTGTAAAATTTAATGTTCGTAAATAGTAGACCTTCGACGATGTCGGAATGGATTCTCCATATATTAAAATATGGAAAAGGAATTATTGCGGGGCAAATGAAATCTTTTCAAAAGAATTATAGGCTAAATGAAACTAAGAAATGAAATTATTTAAATTAAAACTGTTTTAAATATATATTCTTTTAAATTAGGTAAATAAGTAGTGCATTTTAGCTACAAATACTCGCAAAAATAGCGGAATATAGTACACCACTTTTTATCACTACTATAACAGCATTGTCAAAATACAGACTTTATTTTATCGTGTCTATTAGAGGTTAATACACCTTGAAAGCCTGCGGGCATAAAGATTTTTGGGTCAGATGGACAACTTGAACAAAATTATTACGGGCTTAACCAAAAAACCCAATTAAAAATTTCTATGGGCTAGATTGGCCCGCGCCGACCCTTAATGTATCTGCATGTGCAGGGATATCCAGTTACACTCCAGATCCAGGATGTTTATAAAAAAACTCATGGTGATCTTTAATCACAAACACTACTCATAATCATAAAATTTATAAATTACCCCCAAATTAATGATGTATTTTTTATTTATTTATTAAATAACATTTTTTTAATTTTAGAATATACATATACATTGACATTTAATTATTGTTAATACATAAACTAAAATAATATATAATATAAGTCAAAGTAATAATCTTTAAATTTATAAAGTATAGTGTAGTATTTATTAGTTAACCGTAGAATGATTGGTAAATCAGATATTTCTTTTTCATTTAATGATGGATAAATTATAAATGCCTATCTTATGAGATGTGAACCAAAAATTTTTTGTCGTCTAGGTTATTATATGTCATTGACTTGGGACTGTAAGTTTACTAAATTTCCATTATTTAAAGAAACGTTAATAGAGTACTACATTGTATATGAACAAATAATTGTTGGGAAATAATAAATTGTCAAAAAATTATGCAATCTAAAATAAGGTATGCAAAACTCACATCTAGAAATATTTTACAAATAAAGTAAAATTTTAGGCAAAAAGTAAAATTTATGATTTCTCTATCATCAAACGAAGGAGAAATATCTGGTTCGCCCATCATTCTTGACGGGATAGCTACTAGTTTATTATAATTATATATGTTAGGGCTGTGCCGATCCACATATTTTTCACCTATTCGATATTGCTTCAAACCCGATCCGATATTTATACTGATTTTTCACTACCCCCCATTGAACCAAATGTAATTAATAAATTAATATTTTTTATACAAAAAATCGAATTATGCATTTAAATTAATTTTTTATTTCTACAATTAAGACTAATTAAAAATATATATTAATAATATATCCATTTTTTGTTGGTGTTTAATATATAAATTATAATATATTAGATTTTTTAAATAAATATGAGAGCCTTTAAGTTTTCTGACAATAAGCTCTACGATATGGACTATCTATATCCCCTGCCGTACTGAAGGCAGACTCAGATTATTCCGCAGATAACGCATTTTGCAATATTATCTTTGTCTTTTTTAAAATATTTCCATAATTCAGATACCATTTTTAAAAATTCTTTTATTTAAAGTATAAATAATGGGTTATTATTTAAAAAGATTTAAAATAAATAAAACTTTGGGTTTTCCTTTCTATTTTTATAAAAAAAACTTTAAAATATTATAAATCTATTTAAAAAAGATATAAAATTTAGTGTTGTGTATTTGCATTGTTTAAAAAAATTTAGAAAATATTATAATAATGTAAAGTAAATATACATTACAAAATAATCAAAAAAAAGTAAACGAATCGGTTTTTACAGGTATCTGCCCGATACGATATTTTTGGAAAACGCTAAATATCTGTACCGATCCGATATTTAATATCGGCACAACCCTAGTATATGTTATAAATTGCATATAAAATTAAATACTTTCTTCGTCCATCATAAAACAATTTTCGGAAGTTAATTTTGTATTATGAAGTTATTCGAATAAAAACAACCGTTAACAACAATTTTAGAAATATAAAATGTTTCTTCATTAGTCCACTAGGAAATTTTATTAAATATGAATAATTTCAAATAATTCCTACTAAATAATATATGATTATTTCCAATATTTATCAATACTATATATTATTATAGTCGAATAATTCGACCGAATAATAGATAAAAATTATTCACGAATATTACATTTTCCTTGAATTCGGTTCAAATTTTCGAATCGAATAATTGTTTTGTTCATATTCGTAAAATACGAATCGAATAACAAATAAATCGTTTTACGTATACACATATTAGAAAGTATTATTTAAACATTTTAGGCGTTATATTTATAAAATATATAAATATCATTTTTTTCTATAAAAATAAAATCCGCTAGAAAGCTAAAGCCTTCGAAAAATTTAACAAGGATATGGAAAGAGCCGAAGCCGTGACCTCTTTAAAACGCGACAAACACTTAAACCACACCCAAATAGCTAATCATATTTTCATCTTGTACTTTAAAATACTCAGAAATTGTTCTTCCATTCATAATGTCAGCGGACCAAACAATTCTCCCTTTATGAGAAAACTGTTGGCTTCTGTGTTGAAAGGATTGTCTACCTTTGCTCATATAATTAACATTGACTTTTTTCACGATCTTATAGCTTGCTTGTCCGAGATTTCTGTTTCGAAGGTTGATATACATTTTATATTCCATATTTCTATAATTAGTAAAACCTATTTCGATTTAAACTCATGAATGAAATATATGGGTAATTCCATGACAAATCGACCAGCTATTCGGCCGACCATCTCAAAAATGAATGAAATTTGGCATGTTATTTATGTTGTAAATGTTAATAAAAAAAAATTTAGAGTGCTAGCTCAACCAGATCCAAAGATATACGCCTTCAAAGTCGAAAATCGCGAAGTGCTGATTTCATTAAATCTTATTATTTTAAAAAATACTTAAGATAGAGTTACAAATTACATATCATTTTATAGCCCTTAAAATTTTACGTTGGAAAATATTTAAAAAAAATTAACAAATTTCAAGTGTTTTTTATTTCCGGTAAAAATAAAAAATTAACATTGTTAGGAAGGGATTTTTTGGGGTGTTAATATTCACTAAAAATGTTTATTACCTTTATATTAAACGATTTAATAAAAAATCTCGATAGCCATTTTTGTTTTTAATTTTATTTAAATCTTTATTATTTTTATAAATAAAAAAATGCAATATAGATGGCGTTATATTAATATTTTTTATAGTATATAATTTTTAATAAAAATATGAATAGTATTGTGATTAAAATTAAAAAATCAATTGAGTATAACCAAGAATGATGTCCTGGGGCGATATGTAAGGCAACCCATACAGATATTATTTTATTGACGCTATATTGTAAAATAAACATATTTTAAAATTTTATACACAAACAATATAAAAATAAATACCTCTTTCTTATCCCATTTTGTGCTTATTAATAGAATTTATTGAGACGATAATTTGTAGGTAAGTCCTGTCACTAATAGGATCTACTACTGTTATTATTTGATTATGGGCAACTATTTTTTTTCCACAATTGTGTAAAAGAAGGATGGTGATGGTCCATGGGAATGTAAAAAGGAAATATATATCTCCTCAGTAATTTCATTCTTTTTTAGTACTGTGGCTAATAACCAAAAATCGTCATAAACACATGTTACGAATCCTTTAATATCGGCAAAAAACAAATTGAAAAAGACAAATTATCGGCATTTGAGATATTGTTAATTTGAAAGTCCTCTGCATATGAATATATTTTTGATTTAAGTTTACTTAAACTCAAAGGGAATACAGCATGTATTTCCCGAGTTCCTGGAATGGGACGAGCTAAATTGACTTTCTCGTAGTTTAATCTCTTGTAAATTTTTTGTTCGTTGGTTATATATGTAAAATTTACTGATGGCATGTTTTGTTTTGAAAATTGATATAAATCAACTGATGTTTAAATGTATCCAGAACTGATGCGCTGAAGGCTTGAACGTGCTGCTAATCTTTTTAATGTTCCGCCAAGGCCGTCACATGGACCTTTTCCATGGGATATAGCTGAAAAATGCCATTCAGCTGCTACACCAAAATCTGATTCATGATAACACAGATTTATAAAAAAATTTCTGTTTTTATATTGCGCAGCTGATCCCTCAGAGCAGTAATATATTTTGTTTGGCTTTTTGCTGAATTGATTGGTCAAAAATTTTATCATTTTGGTCTGGTATAAATGTACTGCAATAACATTACGTTGAAGTGACTTTGATATTACCATATAATTCAGGTTTTATATATTGCCCTTATTATTATAATATGCTATCATAGGATGGATAGTGGCTTGATTATTATTCCAGTGGAATCCTTGAACAGTGTCTTGGATTATAATGCATAATTTTCAAAGAAATCACAAATTATCATAAATTCATTTGGTTGTAAAAGATGTTTAAGTTTTAAAATATATGATGATTGATTGGTAGCAATGTTAGGAAAAAATAAATAAAAAAAGCTGATAAAATCGTTATTTTCAAATAATAACGATAGTAGATCCACAACATTGAAAGTATATATTTACAAATTATGGCCTTAGGAGTTTCTATTAATAAGCGCAAAATTATAATAGTTTGAATATAAAATTTTTAAATATGTTTATTTTACAATATAGCGTCAATAAAATAATATCTGTATGGGCTGCCTGCTTACATATCGCCCCAGGACATCATTCTTGAATATTAACACCCAAAAAAAATCCCTTCCTAACAATGTTAATTTTTTATTTTTACCGGAAATAAGAAAACACTTGAAATTTGTTAATTTTTTTAAAATATTTTTCAACGTAATTAAGGGCTATCAAATGATATATAATTTGTAACTTTATCTTAAGTATTTTTTAAAAAAAACAAGATTTAACGAAATCACGCACTTCACAATTTTCGACTTTGAAGGCGTATATCTTTGGATCTGGTTGAACTAGAACTCTAAAATTTTGATTTTATTAACACTTACAACATAAATAACTATATGCCAAGTTTCATTCATTTTTGAGATGGTCGGCCGAAAATCTCCTTTTTTGATTTGACGTGGAATCACCCATATTGAATTTATAAACTTTTAATTATTTGTATTAAACCTTATTAAGATGACATCCAAAACCGATAAACTCCACGCCATTTTAACCACCTTTGCTATTTTGTCAGGGCAATATCAATCCGCTTTTAACATTGATTTAAATCGGTTTTATTGTTCATTTTACGATATTTTATCCCCATTTGAGGATGACGAGACGTTAGATGTATATTTTACAGCTTTATTATTATTTTATGCTAATATATTGACAATTCGTGATGCTCAACGCAACGGTTTTAGACCTAAAGAGGATTAAGTTTTAGGACTGTCGTCCTGTATGGTTTTGGGTTTAATCGGTCTAGCATGTGTGGTCTTCACTTATCGATTATAAAATTATATATGAATCTGGAGATCGATTTGTTATAATTTGGCAAAATCAATTACTTTTTTATTTAAAATAGTGTATCGCTAATATATTTGTATCTAACATTATATTAACAAAATGGATAACCGTATATAATAAATATCCATCCATTTTTTCATTTAGAACAAATGTGATTCTTTACAAATACAACTAAATCAAATTCCCCTAAAATCACAAATAACTTTTGAAGAAGCTCGGCTTGTGGCCAAATGCATTGACGCTTGTTTCATTCGCCGGCCTGACGCCCTTGAATCAACTTGTAGAGTATCTGCTTTTGTTAAAAGATTGGCTTCACTATGCTTATTCAATTATCAAAATGATATTAAAAATTTTAATATTAACTCCAATAATGTTATTCCTGAACCTAAAAAGACACATAATGAAGTTAGTATATTTGATTGTTGTTCCACTACTCACATATTCATGGTGATAATAGGAAAATTATTACAGGTTAATATTTGTCTTTTTGGAATATATATATGTTGTATTTCATAAATCAACCAAAAAAAGGCGATTCTCAACCCTACCCTTCGATATTTTTAAAAATTTGTATGTTGGTAGTATATACACTAACTAATAAAAATGTAAAATTTTACTTTTCAAATTGGCTTACTTCATGAGATATGGTCATCTTTAGATACGCGAAAATTATACACTATATTTAATTTTAAATATCTAAAAAAGTTATTAAGCTAAGAACACGATTTAAATCTTATTAAATAGCTCTAGAATAGCCCTTTAATATGATATAAAATTTATTTTATTGAAAATAAGTCTATTACCAAAAACCGGAAATGGCTATAAAATAAAAATTGCTCTTTTTTTTCTTTCAAATTTTTTTATAGATAGACATTATACTTTTTAATATTTGTGCAAAATTCTAGATTGGGACGAGTATTGGGCCAATAATCACTTTAAATATAAGTAGTATAGCTTAAGTCCTATATTATACCAAATATATAGTAATTTATGATACAAATAAAAAGAAAATACGTTTGGGAACGGGCTGAATATATTTTTTATATATCTTTCGGGCCGTGTTAGAAAAATTAGGCTTTATGCAGATAACTAGTATACATTGTATCATATTTAACACATAAGTTTAGCTATTTTATTTTAGAAAGAAAATAATTGTAAAAATATTTATAACTTTATTTAGCTAATTATTTATATTACATGAATATAAATGGGAAATTAATATTGTCATAAACATATTAATTAAATAATATCATACATTAAATAATCCAATGAGTAAGAATAAAATTTGATTTTCATTTTTCCTTCCATTGGAATAATTTTTGTGTCCCGGGAATTCGTTTGGCTGTTAAAAATCTATTTTTGGGATTGGTTTCCATTCTTAAATACTCAACGTTGCTGACAAATATGTAATTAATCCCCGGAATATTATTCGCATAATTATATAAATCCATAGTAGTTAGTATATGATTTTCATAAACACGTTGCGGGCTTGCTCTAGCAGCCAACCTCTTAGTAATTCCCCCTAAACTATCGCAATTTTGCCATGTGCAGTTGCAAAAAAATGTCATTCTGCCTTGATCCCAAAATCATTATAATGGTTGTAGAGATATATAAAGTTTTTTTTTGTTTTTATACTAGGTAACAGCTCCATCAGAAAAATTAAAAATTATTGAGATCTTATCAAATCTTTCTTTCAAGAATAGAATTAATTATATTTGAAATGAATGAAAGGAACAAGTATTGTGTTTTAGACAATATGATATAACCACGTAACTAATTTGTTTGATGATATCTCTTTCGCGGTAATAAATCATAAATGGATGAAGTGTTGCCTGATTATTAGTCCAATGGAAACCTTGAGCTTGATCTTGAACTACGAAAGCCTAGTTCGGATATTATTAGATATTCCCCATCCTTCAAATTCGATTCTAATGACTTAAAAAATGAAGATTGTTTCGAAGAAATAAATGCATAAGATAAAATATTTAATTTTTCAATCATGTACACAAATTCGCTGGTGGACTTAGTTACGTTTCTATGGTGGTACGGTCTGCCGCCAACCATTGTTTAAATGTTATATAATCTATGGTATTATTATTCAACAATAAATGTAGTCTTTCTTTAAGTTCCAAAGTGCCCACATTTGACATTTCCTTAAGTAACAGCAAGGCCTACCTGGATTGCCTAGACTTTGTGCAATGTAGTGTTTATAATCTTTTAAGGGAATAAATGGATTTATGCTGGTTTGCAGTTAACTTATATAATTTTTCACCAATTATAATTAATTTAAAATTTTGATGAAATGTGCGGATACACATTTATGCGTTCCAGACATGTATGCTAAAAAATATAATTATTTTGTTTGATAAATAATTAAAGTAGATTAAAATAATATTTAAAATGAAAATATATTTCTGAGGATCACAAAGATAATTAATTATCCGGCAATGAAAAATAAACTAATTCACTCACTGTGTTGTCAGGTCAAAAATCTCGAATTTAAGAAGAAATTTTTTAGGGGACGAATATAGATCTTTAGATGGGGTGAAGAGATTATTGAGCTCACTTTTGTTTTCATAGTTGTTACTTTTTACAAAATCTTATTATTTAATGCTTATTACGGCGTTTTGCTTTATTTTTAAAATAATACAATACAATTTGGTAAATGTCTTAAAAAAACGCAAAATAATCAGATTATTTAGGATTTTAGTTTTAATGCTATTATTCACATATATTCCCCACTTTTTCAAAAAGAATAATTACTCTATATTGATTTAAACCATACTACTTATATTTAAAGTGTAATAACTATTAGCCCAGCAGTACTCGTCCAATTAGGATTTTCTATAAACATTAAGAAATATAATGTCTATCTGTAAAAATATTTGAAAGAAAAAAAGGAGCAATTTTTATTTTATAGCCATTTCCGGTTTTTGGTAATAGATATTTTTTTAATATAATAAATTTTATAAAATATTAAAGGGCTATTCTAGAGCTATTTAATAAATTTAAATTATGTCTTTAGCTTAATTACTTTTTGATATATAAAATTAAATATAGTGTATTTTGGAATTTCCGCGTTTCTAAAGATGGCCATATCTCATGAAGTAAGCTGAGTTGAGAATTAAAATTTCATATTTTTACTAATTAGTGTATATACTACCATCATACAAATTTTAAAGAAAATCGAAGAGGGTCGGGTTGAATCTTCAGTTGATTATTTTTTTATTGGTTTGGTAGTCAGAGGATTAGTAAAATGATTAATGGTCCAATGTAATCATTACTGTTCTCCAGGTTGACTATATCCTGAACGCACTACGCCCTTATAATTTTTTAAAAAAATATCAGGCTGTGTCCTAGTTCGGCTAAATACTTAATAACCGGCTAAGCTAAAAAAGTAAGAAGAAATTAAGATTTTAAGCATGTCACTCGTTTAATTTTCTAAATAACGTTTGTGCATATCAGTTTAAATTATATTTATATAAGCAACCATGCAAATATACCATAGACTAATACCCAATCTTTCTTGACTGCATATTGTATATATTATAGATACTTGTAAATGATGCAATAATAAAGAATATAATTAAAAATTGAAATATTCATACTGTTTCATCATTTAATAATTCCTTAAATGAATTTTGTAACCATTCTTTATCATGGCGATTCTAATATATGTCATTTATTTGAGATATTTCTTGTGAATCAACATAGGCTGCTAGAGCATAGATTAGCGGTATACAGTTCCCTTATTATTATAAAATTTTGTATCAAATTCATTTTTAAAAAAATTCTTGAAAAAATTTGACCTTGCAAGATATGAACCATAAATATCGAAGAGTCATTAACAGTACAGGACTAGGTGAGCTATTTGGATAAAATGTTTTTAATTTGTATATAATATAAGTTAATCAAATGAGATTGGTTGCTAATATACTTATTATACCATTATTATATCAGGATGTGGTAATGTATTCACTTTTATATAAAATTAACAAAATTAGGTTTATTTGTGAATAGAAATTAAATATAATACAAAAATATATATTATATACTGTGTATATTTCATATTCAGAACATCTTTATTTTATAATTATGTTATTTACTATTTCATTTTTTCTCTCTTTAGATCTAAAATAAAAATTTTGAACAATTAAGACACATATAAAAAAATCGACATTTTATGGGCTTTTAAATATACTTATAAACAAGCCAAATTATGGTGACATTTAAACACCTCTTCTAAAAAGCAATTATGCAGCCAAATTAAGCAAACCTAGGACATCGCCTTTTTTAAAATTCTAAAAATATGTCTTATCTGTGAATAAATTTGTAGTTAAGGTTTGTATTTATAAGATATAGAGTAAATATTGTAAGCTATGGCTCTTAAAATATAATAATATATACTTTCATATTATTTTTTTATATCAAGAATTTTTACTCAACTATTTTAGCCTTAATATTAATAGGTATAGATTTATATGCTATCACACTTTATATTCATATTTAATTTTCGGTATGACAAATTATATCTTTATTTGAATAAAAGGAAAAACAAATTGATTTATTTACTAATTCTTAATAAAAAACAATGGAATAAACAAATAGACAAATATATACAAATTTTCTTATTAGCTTATTAATTTTTACTTCTTCTATCAAAGGAACATTTAAAATAATTTTGTAGCCTTCACATTTTCTTTATGGGAGTTATGAAGATTTATTATGAGAAAGGGAAAGGTTAGTTCAAAAAAAAAATAAAAAAATTATGTGTATTAAAATAAAAAATATAAAAATATTTTGCTTTATAAAATCGGTATCGCCAAATTTTTAAAAAATAACGCTCTATCCAATATTTTTCGTAAGCGATCCAAAACCTTATTGTAATATCGATGCAGCCCCAATGGCGTCACTAGCCTTTACAATCTCAGTGCTCAAATTTTTTTCATTTTAAATTTCTGAATTTTTTTGTCTTGAAAATGGCTTTATTTTTTATAGCTAACAATTTCAAAATTAGCTTTTTTGCTAACAATTTTGAAAACTTTTTTTTCCTTTTTTAGCTAACAATTTCAAAATAACCATCTTTTTAAGGTTTATTTTAAAAAAAATCTCAAGGGTCTCTTTAAATATTTTAGGGGCTTGAGCCACTGTTTTTTCCTGGTGACGCTACCTTGGAGCCCTATAAATCATGATAGAAATATAACTATATTTTTTTAAAGCAATAATATTAAATTACATTATGTTACATCTTTCCCCTTTCATATTTAAGATTTTTAATTCATTAAGCAAAAGCATTATATACAGTCCTTAACAATTCCGGGTACTAGCTGGGCCAATATTTTGAAAGCTGGCCTCAAATCGAAAAAAAACAACTTACGTCTAGTTGAAATTATTTTTTACAAACGCTGACTGGTATGGTAAATAACTGTCTCTGCATATCTCTGATTATATTAATGTGACTATCATTTTTTTAAATCACTTCCATTAATAACAGAGAACAATAAAGGTCTTATGATTGATCAGGATCATTTGTGTCAACCGTTTGTTTTTATTCATCTTTATTAGCATTCTAGAAGTTGTAGGATTCGGATATGCAGACAAACTGGTTTACCCCACTACCCCTCAATGCTAACTACCCACTTATAATTAGATATATCTTAAATTACAATTTTAAATTATATAATCATATTATCTATTTATATTTTTTTAAGTCGTCCACGTCTTCTCTTCATTTATTTAACACCGATATTGACGCCAAACCCAAATATGGTGCCGAAAATTTTTGCTACATGCCGGAAGCAAAAGACCCTGATTTTTGCCAGTCTCAAAATGCTTCCCTTTGGGAATATCCAACATTATATTCACATTTTTATGATTTATCCACCCGTCGATTTTTATCAATGTGTATTAATCCTTTGGTGAAGTCACAAATCAAGAAAATAAAAAATGAGATAGATGGTGAGGATGTTACTAACAGTGCAGCTGCCAATAATAGTTTTATCGATAAGGCTTACAAGAGTTTAATTAATGATCAATTTGATTTGAGAAAATTGTTAGATATACCTATTTCTCCTGTTATACCTAAGGATTGTGATGCGATTGAAAAACCTATTTGGCCGAACAAAGATAGAAAGATTTTTGAGAAACGCTTGGAGCAACTTATCACTCGGTACTCAAAAAGTGTCTACATATACGATAAATCATATTGTACTTTTACATGATACTATTGTATCGATTCAATCTTAATTTTAAGAATGTTGTAGATTGTTTGATAAAATAAAATTGCTGAACTTTATTCGAATCATTTAATTGTATCGTTTCACCCGTTTTATAAATATGTGAACACAAATTTTATTATTTAAAAAAAAATTTTAAACCCTATTTTAGTGATTAGGGCTACATGCCAAATTTTAATCTCTTCATGAGTACCCATATTATCTATAATTGCTTTTATGGATCGTTTAATTAATCTGCCAGCTTTAAATACTTTAGTAATCTTATAAAGCAATGTCTTTAACAAAATGACCAGAAACAAGCTAATATGAACACAGAAATGAATTATTAAATGCTAAAATTGAATCGATCTCATAATGCTTCTTAATATCAGTATTTATGTAAAATTAATAAATTCAGAAGCCACATAAATTATATAGTAAATGGTAGGGTATCAAATAAAAAGAATGGCGGTCCAATTTAAGGTATCACTTCACTACAGTGTTATTAAATATAAATATCGATGTAATAAATTATCAACAACGTAAAGGATTGTTATTAACCCATTAATGGTCAACGTACCATATCTGCAACAGTTGTTATTTATTGATTTTTCACATAAATATTTTGAATTGAAATAATTTCACATATGATTCTTATAGCTCAAAGATTGTACTATAACATGAAAAATATTTATTTTTGAGTGCGCTAGATGCCATTAAAATTCGACAATTTTGGACTATTAAAATGCCAAATGTTCTAGGCTCCCTCGTTGAAAGAGTATTTATTTATTTTTTAAATGCTATTGACATACATTTATTTCTTATAGATGCCTTTATTTATTATAATTATTTTTGACCCATCATTCTATCTATTCTCGGATTTATAATCATATGTACTGTACCATTTATGCAACGTTGACCACATAAGGGTTTACAAGTAAATATTTTATTATAAATTTTTATTTATATTCTTACTAAGCAAAAATACTATTTTTTCATCATAATATTTTTATTAATTATAATAAGAAAATCCATAATTTTTATTGTTATTTTCATTATATTTTTTTCATTTGAATATAGAAATTATTTGTAGATTATTTATTATCATCTTATATTTGCCAAATTTTTAAATAATATTAAAATATTATTATGACAAAACAATTATTAACAGTTTTTGAAGCCTTATCTACGCTTTTCATGAAGGCCTGTGTATAAAACAGATGTTATATACAAATTATACCTCCTAATACTGTTTTAGTTAGTGATGAAGAAGATTTCGATGAAAACGATCTAACTGACAAACCTAATATTCCAGGCGAGATAGAAATCCAATATCCAGCAGACATTGATATTGTCTCAGAAACCTCAATATCTACAAATCAAGAATGCTAATTTCAATTTGATTTGATCCGAAAAACTTCAATAGAAATATTTGAATTATTTTTTGATCAAGAAATGTATTCAATTCACTGCTTGTGGATCAATCACATTATTATTCCAAACAAAACAATAGACCAAATTTTATTACAAAGCAGGTCAGAGATGAAAAGATTTATAGGAATTTGCTAACTGAATATCATTCCTTACTGCAAGAATATATTGGTCAAATGACAATAATATTACCATACCAATCGTTAGGAATTCAATGACACCACATACATTTCGCGATATCAAATGGAATCTACATTTATCTACTCAATTTTTCGGCCGGAAATAACTGATACTTTTGAATCCCTTGGTAAATAAAAAAATGAATACAAGTAGAGGCCATCCTAGTCAATTTTCCTCATTTAGCGAAACACCTGAAAATTCTAATGGTCATTATGTTACAGCTATTATCGATAATAAAAGGCTACGTTGTAAGCTTTATCATAGTCAGACAAGATAAATATATGTAACATGTGTCAAATACCAATACATATTGTTTTAAAAAAATTTTAAATATAAAAAAAATTGCAGAGTTGTTAAAAGATACTTTTTAAATGGATCTAGATACAGATACATAGTCTCAAAAGTTATCTAGATACAGATACAGCGTCTAAAAAGTTATCAAGATACAGATACAATTTTTAAATGTATCTATATACAGATACATTTTTATTATGCTCTTATAGGTTTGCATAAACCTAAATTAATATTATATTGTGAAAATGTCATGGTAAAGCAATATAACTTGTTGTTGCTTCCTCTTCATCGATATAGATCTAAATAAATATATAAACTTAAAAATTTAGTTATAAAATAAAATTTGCCATTTCCATATTGTAATATTAAAATTTGTATGGTTTATTCGGACATAATATATAAATTAATGAATATTTATATATATTTTTTATATATAAGTTTTAATATTTTATGTATATATAATTCTTATAGTATTAATAAATATTAATATATAATATATATATATTTATTTATTTCATAAGCTCATATGAAATAAAATAAATTTTACAGTCAAATATTTTTATTTATAATAAAAAAGGGGTATATAAAATGTATCTTAAAAAGTATCTAAAAACAGATACAGATACCTCTAAAAAATATCTAGATACAGATACTACATTTTTATATCTAGATACTTTAACAACTCTAAATTGTATCATATAAATTTAAAATATGTAAATAAATTTTGAAATTTTCTATCGTATTTCGATTTTTTGCAATAATATAATTTTATCTTATTTTTATACCCCTAATGTCAACGTTGCATATAACAACGGTTCAGATTTCCTATTTAGGATGATTTTTTCATGCCGATTTTCTTATGATTTCTTAGACTAAGATAAATAAAATTCTAAAAAACCAATAATTTTTATCGGTTGTAAAAAGTGGTAAAATAGCTGGGTTGGGTCAGCTTGACTGCTAATTAAGCAAGATTTGAGGCCAAAAATATGACCTCACACCCGAGGCATGTACCAGATCCATCCTAATGGGCCTTATTAGCCAACCCATCAAGTTGGCCAGCAGTTTTACTCACTTGGTCTACCCGAAAGGTTAGAGTTAGTATTGTTAAAAAGCCCGATTTGGGTGAATTTTTCAAAACCGCCTGATTAAGGTTTTTGCTAAAATAATATCATGTAAGCATCGAGATTTGGCAAATAGATGTCCAACATTTCTTCCAGCTATGAACAAAATCTTTAGGCTTGCTTAATGATATTTTGGTTATAATCATGAGCGTTTTTTTTAAATCGACCCGAATCGGGCTTTTTAACAACACTAGTTAAAGTATATAATTTAAATACAATGTTTTAAGCCTTGTTAAAGGTTTCTGATATTAGAAAGCTGTTTTAAAACTTTGAGTAAGAAATTGGCTACATTATTTTTTACTCCATAGGGAAAATAAATTAATATTAAAATTTTTTAAACGCTTTTTTTGAGTCCACTTAGGTATTAGAAAGTAGTTATAAGTGAAAGACCTTTAGATCTAGTAAAAAATTCACAGCTATTTTTTTTACTTTACAAAAAATATGAAAAAAGTACTCTATTTTGAGCCTTTAAACCAGAGATCTGCAAAAGTAGGCCCTGGCCGGGCATTTCTTAAAGAGTTCGGGCTGGGTCTGGCTTAATAGTTTTTAAAAAAATTTGGGCCAACTGGGTCTGGCCTTGAAATCTTTATTAAATATATCTAAATTTATCAATTTTATGTTGAATTTTTTATGTAAAATAAAAATATTTGATTTTATTTATAGAAACTAGATGCCATATAACATACCTTTTATTTTGAGTAATTATAAAAATAAATTCGGGCCAGGCCTGCAAATTTTTTTTATAAATATTCGGGCCTGGCCGGCAAAACTTTTTTAAAAAGATTTCGGGTTAGGGCCAGGCCAGGCTTACAAATTTTTTTTAAAAAATTTAGTGTCATACTAGGCCGATGCAGATCAATTTATAAAAATCGACTTTTTATTACGAATATGAATAAATTCTATGTTTTATTAATTGTGACAAATTTAATACCACCAATATCTAAAATAAATTTTAAAAAATCCACAAATCTTTTATTTCTTCTTCTTGGCTTTTCTTTTAAACGATTTTCATGTGATGATTCCTTTTCGATATTTTGATACATGAATCTGGATCCATTCCGATATCGAAGGTCCATCATTATTAATGAGCATATTAGTATTAACATCTAAGTATCTTTTAGAATTTACCAAATATATTGGGTTTGGTGTTTAACAAAATGAGTATTTCTCCTCATCCAATATATACACTAAGCCTTATCTTTTTTGCATAGCTATAAGCTACTCTATTATATTCCTTAAACTTAATATTAGTCAGAACCTAAATCGCATATTTTTAACGTAATAAAATCATCTTAGAATTTATTATTGTGCTAAAAATAACCCTCGTGAATACAAATTATATAGTTGAGTAGATTAGAGGACGAATAGTTCAAATTAATTGTTATTATTTAAGATTCAATTATTTACATTTTTGTACTTAAAAATTTTAACTTGAGTCGTCAATTTGTGTCGACTAGAGGACGAATATTTTAAATTAATTATTAAGATATTTGATCTGTTATTTACATTTTATTACTTAAGACTTCCAACTTGAATCATGAATACCAATTGTTTACTTCAGTAACTTATTCCTCATTTTACTTGATCAAATAAATTCTTATTAACATTTTTTGATTTGAATACTCAAAAAAATTCTTATTTACATTTTTTTGATTGAATAATATTCTCAAATAATAAAATATTTTGCAGGTATCTGAATATTTTGAAATTATATCTCAACCATATTTTGAATTGTATGTAAGACAGACATGTGATAATAATCAAAACTATGAGATGACGGGTGAATCTTCTTTAGCATTCCTCCTCATCTTTATTTAATATTATTAAGTATATTTATAGTCCCTCTTTTAGGTAATTATTTTATTTAGTCATTAATGGTTAATAACTATTAAAATATTTTAATAATATCAAATGTACTTATCCAAGATACATATATAAAATTAGAAGAAAAAAATAAATGTGTTTAAAAAATAGCGATAAAATTAAACAAATCTGGCCAGAAAGTTCGTACTTAATTCTGAACTATGATAGGACATAGCGAT